TTTGTACGCTGACAGCGAAGTCGCCAAGACTGACCCTTTTCAGCATGTTTTGACTACATGACCTAAGAGGCCTTAACTGTAGGTGGAGTAAAACAATATACCAGCATGTTGTCATAACCTGAATCTAAAAATATTAGTTATAATTCTTTTACTCCATGAGACTTGAACATAGTTTTGCTTTCTGAATTAAATCCAACACACTTTGAGTGTCATAATATTGTTGTTTATAAGCAATGAATGATTTCCTAGGGTCAAAATTATTTGTATTTATGTTATGCCAATCATATTATTAAACAATATACTGTAGTTAATTCACTTATTACTTATTTAATTATCCTTTATGTGTGTAATTTTAAAATGGGAGAGGGTCATTTCCTAATGGACAACGGTCACAAATGTATCATCCATTGATTTTGTTTTGCATTTTGACATCAAACATCAACAGGTCTGAGTGCTCAGTTAGAGCACATCCCTAATGGCAGTCAATATAAGCAGTCATGTGTATCTGTGGATCTGTTCTTATGTGATTGGCTTCTCAGAAAACAGCCTAACTAAAAGGCTCAGAAGAAAGGGTAGATCTTGACTAACCAATTTTGCTTGCTCTTAGTGGTTGTATTATAAGTAATAGGTTTATTCCATGCTGAAAAAAAGAAGAAAGAGAACACAACGTTTCGGCCGTGGAGCCTTCTTCAGGTGTGGTTGTATTATAGATGACTTATTTATTTCATAGTAGTATTTCATAGTTGTTCAGCAAATGGTTTTGTTTCTTTTTCAAACAACGCTGTTGAGCTTTTGGGACGAAGCAGAATATAGCTTACAGTCTTGTTACTGAACATTGATATAACTGCTTTTCACAACTGTCTTATGCTGTGTGTGACACCAGTGATGCTGACCTAGATATTTTGATCACGTCTAATACTTGTTACTAATCCTGGACTATTTAAATCCCATCACAGTTCATTCTCACACAGGGAGACAAAACATTGCTTAGCTCCTGTATAGTTGGCTACTCTAAAGACATGTAGCCTTATAGGAAATTAATAGATATAAATAGGAAGCATGGACCTTGGGTGAAAGTACCACTCTTGATTATAAAGATCTGTGTAAAATGTGTAAGTGTAAGCCCTGGATGGTGTACATACTGTAGTTTTGGAGACAGAGAGCACCCCTGCCTTTGTTTCTCCTAACCATTAGTGTTTCACTACAGAGTTGGAGAACAGTGCATCTAGTTTAATTGTTTGGAAAGTACTGACTAACGTGATGTAGGCTGAAATTTTCACTTTTAATTCAAAGAGCTTAATGTCTGAATGTGTGGTACTTATTAGAGAATCAGATGTATCTGTCAGGTATCCTGATAGAGGAGCAGGTAAGTTTATAAATATCTTTAAGGACAACCTGAAGTCTTCCATAAAGTAAAGAATAATGGTTTATATTAAACATCGCTGTTGTTTCCATGCTGGCTTATAATACTTTATTGCTTTATTTAATGCATATTTCTTGAATTGATGGTGATGAAATGTTTTTTTTTTAATCCCGATATTCAGTGTTTTGAAGCATTACACTTTTAGAAGTTAGTTTTAAGTTAACTTACAACAGTTTTAAGTTTTCAGAAAGAGCTGTTGAAACTTCAGGATACTCACAAGAATCTTTCACATATTATTTTCTTGCCAATTTATTGAATTAGTGTGGTTATTTGACATTGTACAGATTCCTACATGTGTGCAACAGGCTCTTTGTCAAATATTGCTGGGAGGATTTTTATACCACTGTCCTCTGAAAGTTGCCAAAAAAAGTTCTGCATGATCGGGGCCAAATAGCATTGACAAATGGTAAACATTTAAAAGACAGCTGTTGTCAGCATGAATACAGGTTCCTCTGCCTTTATGTTCCCATTTTAGAACTGAATCTTAAAACCTGGGTTCATACCTTCTCTAAACTTGTCAGACAGTTCAGGTTTGTTCTCAAAATCAAGGCTTACATTATATTTTCTGAAAGAAACATCATGATAGAGGTGTTGCTTTAGCGCTTTGGAAATGGATTTCTCCATGTTTAACATGAAAAGAGTTTATTTTACTAGTGTTAATGTAGTATCCCCAAAATTGGAAATGGAAAAGTCTTGACGTATGGTGTTTCCATTCAGCCTCCTGTCCTGAAATCAATCAATAGACCTAATTATTTATTTAATGGCACATAAAGCAATGAACCATTTTTCAAAGTCTTGTGTTTTACTGTGCTTGAAAGATTAATTTAGTTTGAGGCTGTAAGAAAATCTAAAGGATTCTAAATATTTTTTTACATATTTGCAGT